ACCTAGGAACTTACCCCGCCTAAAGAACCCAAGGATGCCTGGGGGGCTGACACTCATAGATACCCCACTTCAAACATTGGGAGTCAGGACCTGCCCGCCACTCAGCGCTACTTAAAAGTCTGTTTCCTCAGACTTTAAGGATGCTTTAAGGGGGCTGCTTTAAGGACGTGATGATCTATGGGCCATAAAGCCAGACGTGGAAGGGATTCCCACATCAGCAGATGATCTGGCCTCCTCATTTCACGGATGAAGAGACCCAGGCTTAGAAAGGTGAGAGTCACACAACCTGGCAGTGGCAGAGCTGGGACCAGAACCCGGGTCCTCTTGCCTGCCCTGCGGGACCAGGGTCACATCCCATAGAACAGCACGCGGTGAGCCCAGCTCCCTCTGTCCACCTGGGAGCCCCTGGGGAAGCCCTCCCACCCACGCACAGCCTTGACCACAGAGGATATCCTTGGTCTAGCCCAGTTTTGATTGCTGTGATGAGCAGGTCACCCAGGCACCTCCCGCCTGCACAGTGAGGGGTAAATAGGTGAGCTCTGGGGGCACTGCCCCAGCCCCAGCCCAGCCTCTGACGATCACACCCTCCTTGCTGAGACCTACGGGCATTTCTGAAAATCCAATGCTCTTTGGAACAATGCCCCAGGCGCTCAGAGCTGGGGTACAGAATTCAGCACCAAGCAGGACTTTCTCAAGGCATGGAGAAACCTACGGTGTTGATGACCACGGAATTCCCATCAATCACCAGGGAAGCTCCCTGGCCACTATCCCAGAGATAGGCAAGAAGAGGGAGCAAGAGACAGAGAGAGAGAGAGAGAGAAAGAGAGAGATCTGCAGCCCCCCACTAAAGTCAAAGGAAACCTTTTAAACTAACGAAGCCACAGAAAACAGAACTGGCAAGTCACTGCACGACCATGCTGTCCCACACGGTAGGGACGAGTCACATGAGCAAGGTCAAGTGAAATGAATTAAAACGAAATAAAAGTCAGCATTCGTTTCTTTGGCCTTACCGGCCACATTCCAGGCGTTCCGTGGCCATAGGCCACAAGTGGCTACCATGGTGACAGTGCGGCCAGACCACGCGCTTGGCAAGGGTAGGGCCTCGGACTTGTTCACGCGCATATCCCTCCCCCAGCCCAGGGCCCGGCCTGCACAGGTGAAATCCTTTCATGAATGAGGGAGGGAACGAATGATCTGAGTCAATGAAAGCGAAAGGGCTGTGTGTGGGTTACAGCACACCCACACGTGAGTGGAACATGCCAACGTCACATGTCCCCGACGAGTCACTGCGGCAGGCAGCGTGGCAGCCAGACATCGCTGACTGTGTGGCCACCGAGCATCACTTAACGTCTCTGAACCTCGTATCCCTCTCGTCAGCGAGGCGGGACATCAAGGCTACCTCAGGGGTGGCGGGAGGATTCGGTAACAGCATCTGGAACCGAGCAGCTGCTCCATCACTGAGCATTCCTCTGTTTACCTCTTAGTTGTTAGAAAAAAAAAACACGATCACCTGTCCCCCCACCCTCCTGCCCTGTAGAGATGAAATGAACTTGGGCAAACTCTCCCAAATCCCTGTGTGAGGGTCCCTCTCCGGACTCTAAGCTCCAGCAGGTGAGAAGCCATGAGTCTCAGGCTCAGAATCACGCCTGCTCTCCGACATCAAGTGGGCCTAACCTGAGAGGATGACTCAGCCACAGCACCAGAGTGGGGCGTCTCCGGGGGCCTACGGGAAGGGGAGAACTAGGTTTCTAGAGACCTGACATCAGCAGAATCCAGACTCCTCTTTGCTAGAGGTGGGGCTGGACTCTTCTCTCCACCCTCGCCGCAGTCGTGGGTAATCTGAGAAAAGCCTTCATTTCCTATAACAGGCCTTATAGATGTCAAGAAATAATCCCTCCCTTCAGAATGCACGATGTGCTATGTGTCAGGCCTTCCTAGGGGTCTCCTGGCCAGGGGACGGATGCAGGCGCCCTGGAGCCCTGCGAGCCACGTCCGGGTCCCACCAGCCCTGCCCAGGCTTGTCCTGCCTACCTTGAGTTTCTCCCCATTTTCAGCATCCTCACCTCCTGCCAGTCTCAGCAGTGGGGCTGGAAGGCGACAGAGCAGAGTCAGAAAGCTTCTGCTGGCAGGTGAAGGTCCATCCACACACCACCCAGAGGACGTGGCTGGGCAATGGGTCCAGCTGGCTACTCGGCCCCTCCCAACCTCCGGAATGTAGGGACGCCTGAGGCTCAGGCCAGGCTAGGGCTCAGGAGCCTGGTTGCATGGGGGAGGGACAGACTGAAGGAGACCTGAAATCCACATCCTCAGCCTCAAGCCTCATGGTCAGGCCTGATCACCCTGTCTGCAGAAGTGGGTGCCCCAAGGTCAGCAAGTGCCGAGAGGGGATCCCTGAGACACAGGGAAGGGTAGCTGAGCCCACGACCCTCCCAGGAACGTCCAACCAGGTAAATAAAGGAGACCTGGATAAGAGGCTGCCTGCACTCTGGCAGGTGCTCATGGGAAGTCCCTGGACCCAGAGGACGGGTAGCAGCCTGGAGCAGCCCGGTGCCACACATAGAGAAAGACCATGCAGGAAGGGAGGGAGGGGCAGGGGTGCTGGGGAAACACACGCACCTCTCAGGGGCCGCAGTCGTCGCCTGGCCACCTTCAGGTGCTTGGTGCGGCCCAGGTCCTCCCCTAGGAGGTAGTACCAGCCACTGATCTCCTGTCACAAGAGGGAATGACACACTCACTCAGAGGGCACAGGTCAGACGGCCACCAACAGCCCTCAAAGAGCAGCAGGTGGCAGGAGGAATAAGCTCTGGTGTCTGCAGCACGATAAGGTGATAGGGTGACTACGGTTAACAGTCATTCATTGTTCATTTCGCCATACGTAGAAGAGAGGGATTTGAATGCTCCCAGCACAAGGAAATGCTGGTGGCTGGAGGTGACAGACATGCGGAGTACCCTGACCTGGTAATACGCAGTGAGCCTATGTCAGAACACCACACTGTACCCCCAAATACACATGATTACTACGTGTCAATTAAACTTAAAAAATAAAACAGTAGCAGTGGGCACTGTCCCTCCAGAGAGACAGGCACTCCAGGTCCCTTGCCGCCATGCCTGCACCTCCGGGAAGCCTTCCCGCCAAGCTGGTCCTTCTCTCTGCTGAATTGCCATGGAGGACAGCCACAGGCCTGTCTGCCTCCCACACCGGGTTGTGCACAGGCTCTCTGATGTGCCTAACTGTGCCTGGGATACAGTAGGAACCCAGGAAATGTTGACCGGCAGAACAGAAGAGAAATGGAGAAGCCAAAGAGTAGGCATCCCGAGGGTCTTGTGCAGCCTCCACGGAGAACGCCTTTTCCCAAGCGGGAAGGAAGTCAGAGTTACACTCAAGAGAAGATGGTTGGGTTCCTCCTGCAGAGTGGAGGGGCCTCAGCCACCTGCCCAGACTGCACTCCAGGACACAAGACCACCAGGACATGTCCGGGATGTGCCAAAGGAGTGCACCCCTCCTCTGCTCAACACCTCCCAACCTAGGAGTGCAGTGCAGAAGCGACAGAGAAGGGGCTGGCAACCTAGAGCGAGGGGTCTCTGGATCCCAGACAACTCCCACCCAGCCTGAACAAAAAGCTCCTCGAGGCTGTGCTGCTCACTCCATTCCTGAGCAGCTGCTAGGCCCAGAAATATAAGACCTGGCAGGCTCATCGCGAGGACCCTGGGGCAGACCACAAGGAGCAGCCTGCCCTCCCCATCCAGGACAACTCTGGTCCCAAGGACCTGCCAGTGTCTTTAAGGGCAGATACCAGACTCGAAGCCTCCTGGTAAGCTCTCTGGCAAGATAAACCAAGAGGGGGACCCAAACTCTCAGCTGGGTTGGTGACCAACCCGGCACTGTTATTCAGGCCTCCATGGGCACCATCTCACAGACAGCAGCCCCACTCAAGGGCTTCCCGAGAAAGCTTGCCCGTACCAGCCCTGGGCTGGGTGGGGTGACCCTGCCAGAAGCTTCGCTGAGCCCACCTTGTCTGGAGTCAGGAGGGACTTCACCCCGAAGCTCATGCAGCCAATGAGTCCACTCCGTCTGGGAGAACAAGAGGCATGAGTCAGCACATTAGCAGCTATGCCCGAGGTTGAGCATCGGCGTAACATAGGTGTGCCTGGTGCACCGTGCTCTACGAAGCCCTTGTTCTGGTGGGGTGTCTGTGTGCGTGTGAGTGTGTGTGTGCGGTATTTTAGACAGGGTCTTGCTGTGTGACGATCCTCGTGCCTCAGTCTCCCGAGCAGCTGTGATCGCAGGCACGCACCATCACTCCCAGCTCTTAGCAATCCTCCTGCCTCAAGCTTCCTGAGTAGCTAGGATCATAGGCGCCGGCACCGCGCCTAGCTTTTAAGGTGGGCCAGGAATTGAACCCAGGCCTCCCATGTGGCCTGACTCAGACTCCTTTGTAGATTGGTTTAATAACCGCAATCAGAAAACTTCGTGAACACTTAGACTGGCGCATAACACTGGCAGTTGACTTTGAGATCATGTAGGAGAGGGATCTGCGTGTCCTAAGGAAGGCACAAGTCAGTGATGGAACGGGCTGCCTGGACCGCCAGTGAACTCCCGGGGCATGTGCCTCCAAGAGCCTGGTCTTGAAAGGCCCGAGCCAGGGCAGGGCTTCTAGCCAGGGGTGTACCGCAGAGCCACCTGAAGAGCCTGCTGCAGACCTGTGCTCCAGCCTCTGCTCCTTGGGATTGAAGTCCAGAGCATCCACAGTGGGGTCTAGGCATGAAAACCGGGAGAAAGCTCTCCAGGGCATCCTGCAGGGAACCCGCCCATGCCTACCCCCTTAAGGACCAGTGGACTCTAGAAACACATATCGTTTGGGTTCTCCAGAGAAGGTGGCTGATAGTCCTGAGCAAACCCAAACCAGCTTCTCACAGGAGCCAAGCCAAGTGATGGGTAGAGATACAGAATACGGGGCCTCAACACTGCTCCAGCTGCCTGCAAATCCGTGCTCTGAACCTTGGCCGTGGGGCTGAGGCCTCTGCGACCAGCCATCTCTCACCAGCTGCTCTCGCTCTGCTGTTCCTCCTGCTCCCATTTCGTCCAGCCCTGGCTCCATCTACTCCCCTTCTTCCTTGCCCCCTCCCATCATGCAAGGTTACTCAAAGAGGACAATGTAGTCACTCCAATAAAGTGACTCTTCCACAATCATCTTCCCAGCTCACCACCAAGAACAAATACTTCTCCCTCTCGGGGAAATGGCCAAGTCAGCACCAGCAAGAGGCAGAGCAGGGGCCATCACAAGTGACGACACTGCTGAGCTGCCATTCCAGAAGAGTCTTGCCTGGACCTTACCAAAGTTCTCATACTAACTTGTTTGTCAACACATTCGACAGAAACCAGCTGGTATCTAGGTGCCCACTCTTCCTTCAGTCTCGGTATGCCTGAAAGCTTCCTAAAACTGCAGTCCACATGGCCAATGACAGTTCGAATCTGGCTCTCGTGCCTTGAAAAACATGGTGGGTTGGGCCAGAAAGTGGTATGGTAGTTAAGGCACTGGATCCCACATGGCTGATTCCATGTTTCAAATCCCAAACCCCATAAGCTTGAAAAGCATGCCAGATGCATGTACTTGCATGCCCAAAATCCCAAGAGGAAAATGAAGAAGGGATTGTGGCATGGCCATCACTCCAGTGGGGTTGATTTCTCACTTTACCTCTCTCTGTCTTTCTCTGGCAAGCACCCACATCCTACAGCAGATGCAAAAAAGAAAAGAGGGAGGGGGCCGGCAAGTGGCATGGTGGTTAAAGGCGCTGGACTCCCACATGGCCGACCATGGTTCAAGTCTCAGACCTGGTGGCTTGCTTGTTCCCTTCCCCCCTCTCTCTCTGTCTCTCTTGGGTCAAACTGGAAAATAATAATGATAATTATAATAAATAAAGTTAAATAAAAATAATTCTTTAAAAATAAAATAGAGGGAGAAAAAGAGAAAGAAAGAGAGAGAAAGAGAGAAAGGGGGGGAGGGAGGGAGGGAAGGGGGAGGAAGGAAGGAAGGAAGGAAGGAAGGAAGGAAGGAAGGAAGGAAAGAAAGGAAGGAAGGGAGAAAGGAAAAGAAAAAAGAAAAGAAAAGAGAAAAAAAGGAAGGGAAGGAAAAAAAAAAGAGAAGAAAAGGAAGGAAGGAAAGGGAATTAGCAGATGGCGTGGTGGTCAGGGTGCTGGACTCCCACATGGCTGATCATGGTTTGAGTCCCAGACCTGGCAGCCTGCTTTCTCACTTTCTCTCTCTCTCTCTCTGTGCATGTGTGTCTGTGTCTATGTGTGTGTCTCTGATGAGTACACATGCCCTATAGCAAATTAAAAATAATAATAGTAATTGTTTTTAGTTAGAAAGAAAAGAAAGAAAGAAAAGACGAAAAACATGGTAGGCATGTATATATGTGTGCCCTAATCCCAACAATGGAGAAACTAAGAAAAAGCGATTGTGGCATTTTCACCATTGAGAAGTACTTTTTCTCTCTCCCCCTCTCTCTGTCTTTCCGTCTCTCTCTCTCTCTCTCTCTCTCTCTCTCTCTCTGGCAAGCACTCATACCCTCTGGCAATTAAAAAAATTAAAAATAAAAATAAAAAACACCCCAGACTAATGCATTAGCTATAATAAATGCTGCCTCTCTGCTCTCAATAAATGCAATTTTCATTCCCTGGTTCTTAGAGAATGCTAAATGGTTAATAGCCTCCCTCGAGCTTTGCTTCCTGCTAAGGGGCCTCCAATGATTTCATGATAATTCAGGCAGAACAAAATTGTCACAATTAATGTCCATAAGCAGGAGCATCTTTCTAAGTGTTCTTAAATTAGCTACTTCTTAAGCCTGCTTTTAAAAAACCTCTGGAAGAAGAAAGACTTCCTTTACAAGCAAGCCGAACATACAGCAATATACCAATCAGCTTAAACTTGGGAACCAGCACTTATCCTAGGAGCTGCCTGAAATTTCACTTGGTGCAAAATCTCCAGAACTAAGCCGCAGTTGCCTCTAACTACCCAGGCCTGAGCGCTGGGCTTACTTAATGCACCAAGTGAAGGCTTGACAAATGGATGAATCTATCACGCCAGTGGTTGGCAGGCACTGGGCAAGGAGCCGCGGTGTTAAGGAAACAAGACAAATGTACAGGAATTTAAATAGCAGCTCAGAACAGCAAGACAGGGGATGTCATAAGACAGGGTGAGAGTGTGACAGAGGAAGAGGACAGACCACAGATTCTGAAGGCTCAGGTAGGCAAGAGGAGTTTAGGGTTGAGATGCTTGAAAAAGGCCTAATGGGTTGAACCAGGGAGAATGAAACGACAAGCATTTCAAGCAGAGGAAAGAGCTAGAACAGACGCTTAGCAGTAACTTCATGGCGCTCACACGGGAACATTACTCAGTTTACCTTTGAGCACTGGGTGGGAGACCCACCTCAAGATAATAACACATTTTTTGGTTTTTGGGGTTTTTTTTGGAGAGGTTTTTGGTATAGGGCATGTGCGCTTGCCAGAAAGACAGACAGAGACAGAGAGACAGAAAGCAAGAAATCACCCCCGGGGGGATGGCCACGCCGCAATCCCTTCTCCTCCTTTCACAGCACGTTATTTTTGAGAGACGCCTCTTGCATTCTCTTTCACAGAAGCCTTAAACTTTTTCTGTTACAGGGTTACACCATTTAACCGCAATTTAACTTTATTTTTTAATTTTTTTAAAGAATTATTTTAGGGACCAGCAGTTAGTGTAATGGCTATGTTGCTGGACTCCCATGTAGTCGGCCTCAGTCCGAGTTCCAGACCTGGTGGCTTAAACTCACACCGGGCGCATGTGGGTGCATGCCCAGGATCCCGAGAGGAGAATGGAGGAGAAGGGATTGCGGCGTGGCCATCCCCCCCCGGGGAGTGATTTCTCGCTTTCTGTCTTTCTGTCTCTTTGTCTTTCCGTCGAGCGCGTGGGCCCTAAAGCAAAAACCTCTCAAAAAAAAATTATTTTATTTAACTTTATTTATTATTTTCCAGTTTGATCAACCAGAGAGAGAGAGAGAGAGAGAGAAAGTGAGCAAGCTAGCCATCAGGGCCGGGACTTGAACCATGGTCAGCCACGTGGAAATGTCCAACGCTTTAACCACCATACCACCTGCTAGTCCCAAATTTTAAATTAGGCCTTTTAGGCTCCGTACTCATCACTGGTTACAAACTTGCTGATATTAGGCCACTGGACATGGCACTGAGATCTGGTTTAGAAAATGGATTAAAGGAGGGACCAGCAGGTGGTGTGGTGGTTAAGGCGCTGGACATTCCCACATGGTAGACCGCAGTTTGAGTCCCGGGTATGGATGCTTGCTTTCCCACTTTCCCTCTTCTCTCTCTCTCTCTCTCTGGTCAAATTAGAATGAATGAATAAATAAAATTGAATAAATAATTCTTAAAAAAAGAAAAAGAAAATGGATTAAAGGAGAAAGAAGGCTTGCAGTACCCAAAACAGCACACAGCACACTGCAAGGAGGCCCTCTGGAAGTGTAGCTACTAAGCATACACACACGCACACACACACACACACACACACATTTTTATCACTCTATCAAAATGTCTGTCTTTCTTTCTTCCTTTCTTTCTTCCTTCCTTTCTTTCTCTTTCTTTCTTTCTTTCTTTCTTTCTTTCTTTCTTTCTTTCTTTCTGTCTGTCTTTCTTTCTTTCAAGAGAAAGACAGAACCCTTGAGAGGATCTTGCCATGCTCCAATCCTCCCCACAACCTCCTAGCCAGCCAGGATCAGGGGCTCACGAGTGCACCCAGCATGTTCATGTCAACTCAGGATTCGAACCCAGATTTCCTGTGAGGCTGAAGTATCACATATCAGCACCCTACCACCTGCTACCACGGCTGGGCCCATGTTTTAACTTGGTACATAACATTACAATTCTAAGACTGTGGTCAGCACACAGTTCTGAAAATGCCGTGATACGAGAAGCTGCCCTTTGGCTTTCATCGTATCATCTCACAGAACTTGTAAAGAGCTTAGCTCCGTAGTCAACGACACTGAGGAATTGGTTACTTTTTAAGAGTGACAATGTCCTTGCAGTTTCTTCAAAGCCATCTTTTAGAGACAGACACCAGGGTGATGTGATGATGTCTGGAACTCGAACTGTGTAGGATCCATCTCACCACCTGGCTGGCCCAAGATGCTTCCCTTTTACCACCCATCGGTCTCGAATGTGGCCCCCACATGTTTGGCCGGGTGATTTATCTACAACGATACTGTAGATGCAATGAGAAGCAGCCAGCAGCACACTGACACAGAAAGAGTATGGCTCTGGAGTCGTTTATCAGCTGTGTGAGACAGTCAAGTATACAACGATGTGGTTACGAGTACATGGGCGTGGCGCCAGACTGCCTGGCTTTGCATCTTGCCTAGCTGTGTTACCTTGGGCAAGTTACATAACCTCTCTGTGCCTGTTTCCTCACCGAGAAAGATGGCAATAATATCTACTTGATTTGGTGTTGTGATGATTAAATTAGATAATGTACAACATGTGTTTATTGATGTGCACACATAATAAGTGCTTAATAAATATTAGTTATTATGTACAAGCAAGCTGCCAAAGCCCTAGTTTTCTCTTCTTCGAAGAGAGGGACAGTATTCCTACTTCTCTGGTGATTATGAGGATTAAACAGATAATGTATGCAAAGCGCTTGGAACAGAGATGAGTTCAGCAAACAGCGTTCCCTTCCTTCCGTCATTGTCTTTCATGTTGAGAAGTTGCACTTCTGTCCTTCGGGGAAGCGCAATTTGATTTGAGCATACTCAGCAGGGCTGAAGTTCCCTGCAATTGCTCTGTCTGCCTCCTCCGGCTCAGAGGCCCTCTCGTTCAGAAATGGATCAATACTGGAAGGGTGTGCCGGAGTGCATCAAGGCTGAGCCGGCCTCAGTGGTGTGGACAGCTTCCACGGGGCCACCTGCTCCTCGGACAGGCCTGTCCGAGCCTGCTCTGTCCCTCCAAGCTTTGGGCTGGAACTGTGACCACGAGTTTGGCTGTGTTTTGTCTAATAAGGAATCTCACTTTCCCAAAATAGGCAACGAGTAGAGACACTGCCCCGTCACATTGCCTCACTGGGTGCTGACTCACTTTCCCCAGCCTCACTTTCTGTTCCAAGATCTGTGAACCACATTACTGGCTGCTTCGGCCGCTTGGCATCCTCACTCTGCTCTCGCTGGAGGGGAGATCACAGGGGATCACGCGGCACCTCAACGACGTGGTGTCTGCCTCCGGCACCTGCTCAGACCTTGCCTCCACCTGGTGGGCTTCACAAATGCATCTGCCTCTCCATCACCCTCTGATGTCTCCAGCAGGGCTTTCCCCTCTGCCTGTCCTTCCGAACAGGATCTGGGCCAGCCAACTGGTGTGGTGGTTAAGGCGGCTAGATTCCACATGGCCAACTACATGGTTCAAGTCCCTGACCTGGTGGCTTGAAAAACATGCCAGGCCCAGGGCCGGCAGGTGGTGTAGTGGTTAAAAACACTGGATTCCCACATGGTTGACTGTGGTTCGAGTCCCAGACCTGGCAGCTTGTTTTCTCGCTTTCCCTTTCTCTCTCTCTCTGCCTATCTCTGTCTGGTTAAATTAAAATAACAATAATAACAAATGGAATTAAATAAGTAATTATTTTTAAAAAGAAAAGCATGCCAGGCCCATGTAAATACATTCATGCCTAATGATCCCAAGAATAGAATGGAGGAGAAGGGGTTGCAGTGTGGCCATCCTCCCTAGAAGGGTACTTTCTCACTTTCTCTTTCTCCATCTGTCTCTTCTCCCCACCAAGGACATGTGCCTTGTAGCAAATTATTAAAAAAAAAAAAAAAAGAACATAAATGTTTTAAAATAAGATAAGTTTCACAAAGATAGGATTCTGACCATTAGTCCTCGGCACTCGGTGCTCTTCCTGGGTGGTCTCAGCTGCCTAGCATTTCACCCGCTGCCTTCATGGCCATGGCCCACATCTCTACCCTGGCAGAGACCGCCATCCCCCAGAGCCCCAGGTCAACAGATGCAGGCTGTCCTCCATAGCTCTCGGCTGGCTGCTCCCCAGGCCCGGGCATCACTGTGTCCAGAGCTGACTCACCTTCCCTGTGTATGCACGTCCTCTCAGCTGGGGCCACCACCAGCTGCCCAGAGTTATCTTGACTCCCCTGCTGCTCCCATAGCCAGGTCTCCACTACGTACTATTGACTTCATCTCCTGGGTATGTCTTGGATCGGTTTCCCTCCTCTCTATCCCCAAATTACACTTCTGTCTCCCTTGGACCTGCTAAAGACCTACCAGAATGATAGGTCTAGAATGTCCATCTATCATTCCCTTGCTCAATACACTTCTGAATCTCTCAAGGGCCACACAGATCTGCAGATGCCAAACCGGCTGCAGGAGGTTCACCCTGAGAATTTGTTTACTAGCAGATTCCTAGGGCCTATCCACAGAGACTTGGATTCAGTCGCTCTGAGGTGGCACTGGGACCCTTGTCCCCCACCGGCATCCCAGGTGATTATGCTGCATATCCAGGATGGAGAGCCACTGGGTGGCAGGAGATAATCCACGCTCCAAAGAGAACCTACAGAATCTTCTGATTTGGCTCATGCCAGCCTCTTCAGCTTACTTCCTGCCAGGCCCCATTTTGTTCTTCGCCTTCCAGCAACACCACTGAGTTTGCAGAATCCCCCTCACTCCTCTCACCTGCCTGCCGTCTCCACTCCACTGGAGACTCCCTCTGTCCTGTTGCTTGTGCACCCAGGAGGTAATACAATGTTAAGAGTAAGGACTATAGAGGCCAATAGGTGGCGTGGTAGTTAAGGCACTGAACTCCCACATGGCCGACCATGGTTCGAATCCCGGACCCAGCAACTTGAAAATCATGTGTGTGCATGTGTGCCCAAAATCCCAAGAGGAGAATGGAGGAGAAGGGATTACAAGGTGGCCATCCTCTCTGGCGAGTGATTTCTCACTTTCCCTCTCTCAGTACTCTCTCTGGCAAGTGCGCTGTGGGTCCATCTGTCTATATTCCCATTCTGGCACTACTGAGCATTAGCTCTACGGCCTTAGGCAAATCATTAACGTTCCTTTGCTTTGATTTCCTCTGAAAACTTAGGACAAAGCCATATGAGTTAAATGAGATAATGCACTGTTAACCCCTGGCTTGAGATTTGCACCCAATAAATGGCTGCTTTTGCTATTAATGTGATGCCCCCTCCTCACCTGCCCTCTCAAGTTTCTCTCGGTGATTCTCTAGGGAGCAGGACAGGATCTGACCCACCCCATGCACTAGCATGCTACTGTCACGTTGGTATCCAGGAGAGAGCAGCTGAGTGGGTGGTGGATGGGTGGATGAGGGCTGCAGTACCATGAGCATCACTCGGCGATGAAAGTAGACACTCTAGCAAAAGGAAAACCCAGGCCACCCAGTGGCATAGTGGTTAAGGCAGCTGGATCCCACATAGCCAACTATACTACTCGATACCTGGACTCAAGGGCTTACAAAATACCCCAGGCATGTGTGTGTGTATGCAAAAAACCTCAAGGGGAGAATGGAGAAGGGACTGTGGTGTGGCCATTGCCCCTGGAAGGGTGCACTCTCTCTCTCTCTCTCTCTCTTCTCTTTTTTTTTTCTCTCTCTCTCTCTGGCAAGTGCACCCACCCTATAGTTTAAAAAGAAAGAAAGAAAGAAAGAAAGAAAGAAAGAAAGAAAAGAAAGAAAGAAGAAAGAAAGAAAAGAAGAAAGAAAGAGCCTTTATTTTGAAGGTTGAAATAGACCCAAATTTAAAAAGCATATTAGCTAATAAAGTTTAGGGTACTAAAGCGTATTCAACTTAAAAATATTTTCCAGATCTAATCGGGTGAGTGGAATTGATTTTCATCATGTTTCCAGTTGCCACTCGGTTCCATGATTGCTCAACAAATGTGACAGGCCACAGGGTCTCCCAGGTTCCTTAAACTGGACCAGCTAAAGAATGAGGCTGCTCACCATGGGGCTGACCGGCAACTGCTCTCCCCACTTTCCTCAGCACCCAGCTCTCACCTCAGCACCCCGCCCCCCCCCCCCCCCCCCCCCCCCGCCACTAAGCCCACCTATGCTCTCGGCTGCCAGAGAGATCAGCCTGTTTGGATTCTTTCACCTACAACCTCTACCCCCCCCCCCCCCCCCCCCCCAAAGGGCCCCCCGGGGGCGGGCGGGGCC